GGGAGTGGGTGGGAAGAGGGGGGAGGGAGAGGGGAGGTGGGAGGAAGGAGAGAGGGGAGGAGAGCAAAAGGGAAGGGAGAGGAGAGGGAGAAGAGGAGGGGAAGGGAAAAGGGGAGGGGGAAGAGGAGGGGATGGGAGAGGGAGAGGGTGCCCAGCCTAGGCTCAGGTATGGGCTAAGGCCAGTGGAGGGGTAGAGGGCAGCCAGCCCAGATGTTGGCAAGGCTGAGGGGCCTGTGCTGCACGCTGGGTGGGAGAGGCCTAGAAACTCTGATTTGGATGTCCTGGGCCAGGAGGATGCCTCTCCAGGCTCCTCTTGGAACCTACCTGGTCTCCCAGCCCCACAAAGGGGCAAGAACTTCTGTTCAGAGAAACAGGCACAGGAACAAGCCCAGCCATAGAGAAGCACACAGTTGTCTTAAAGCACAACAGGGTCCAGTAAATGTATTTAATTGACTGAGAATGTATTAGAGGGCTGAGTAGAAGGTCGGTGGTCAAGGCAAGGGGGAGGGGAGTGTCCCGTGTCATGGGGTCTGAAGCCCTGATACCTAGGCCCCTGCGCCTTGCAGATTCTGTGTTGAGTGTCTCTCAGTGCTTTGGCAAGTACTTGGTCCTCAGGGCAAGTGGAAGGGAGTTTGAAGAGATCAGTGGGTTTTGGGGTTCTACTTAGGCAAGTACTCTATGATGTTTTTGTCATTTTCCTTCTCAGCCAGGAGCTGGTGAATCTGAAGAGCAGCCCTGGCCCCGGAGGTGAAAGCCCCTGCTTCCTTTACCTAAGGAGTGGGCCTAATGGAGGTGAAGAGATCCTTTCGGTTGGCGTTCTGAGTTCAGCAAGGAATATGGAAGTATACCTAGGGGAGGAGTACTGTGGAACTAGTCGGGGCAAGAATGTCTGCACTGTCCTGGATGACAGGTTTGTGATTGTTCTGGCAGAAGTACTCATCTGAATTAGATCTTTATTCACAGCTAAGGCAACATTTATTGATTCTCTGACACTGATGGGAGGCATTAAAGAGAAAATAAAAACATACCAGTAGGCATGGAAGAGTAGGCCACTAAGCCTTTTAAAGACAGCGGAGATCAGCCTGTGTATAAATATGGAGACTTGGGGCTAGTGGACAAGTTTTATTAGAACGAAACCCTTAGAAGTATGTCTCCTTTCTCTCCTTTACTTCAAAGGGTCTCTCTCCTTAAAGATACACATTCTGAAACATTGAACATATTTCATTCTAGAAAGTTCATTACATATGGTATAGGAACCTAAGACTGCAACATCAGCCTGCTTCTTCTTACAAAGATTCTGCCCAAATCTATCCTTACTGTAACTCAAACTATGCGCTGTTCTATATGCTGTGCATCTAGAAGTAATAGCCATGTTTATTGAGCTTTAAAATACACTGTGTACTTCATGACTGTACATGTATTTCCGTGTTCATTCTCTCATGAGGCTGGTAAGTGGCCCATGTAGTTCTGAGTAGTGCAGTCAGGAACCTCTTACTTCCTGTGCCTGACCTGGAAACAGGACTCTCAGAATTGTAGCAGCATTCTGGGAATGTTTATTCAGAAATGTAACAATTGAAACTTACAGTCAGTAACTTTTAATACAAATTCTTCTTTTTTTTTAGTGAACATGAGGAGATTCTTTTGTACAAAAAATATCTAAAGTTGCAGTCTTCCACACATGCCTGCAAAATAAAGGTAAGTCATTACCCAGTTTAGTATTTGAATTCTAATAAAGTTGTTTTTTGCTCCGTACGTACTTCTTTCCCCTTGGTTTGGCACTACAGTTAGGTCAGCTTGATCCTAGGGTTAGTTCCGAAATGCTTAGTAAGCCCATAAAAGGATATATGTGTGTTTTTTAAATTATCAATCCTTTCCAACATTGAAATTTCCTTTTAAGCTGTGCTTATTTACTAGCTACAGAAAATGTTTTGTTGGTGTGTTAGCACTATATTTTGAAGCCTCATAAAGCTGAGCTAAGAAAATTTTAAAAATCTTTATATAACTTTGTAGTGCCAGAAAAGCCAAAAGCAAAACTTTGTTCCAGTAAGTAAAGCATGGCATGAGAGAAGTTCAAACAGGGGACCCAAACACTGAGCTGATTTTTTTCTTTTTTTTCCTAAGACAGGGTCTCCCTATAGCCCCAGCTGGCCTAGGACTCACTATGTAAACTAGACTGGCTTCGATCTCTCAGACATCTACCTGCTCTGCCTCCTTAGTGCTGGGATTAAAGGCATGTGCCACTAAGCCTGGCATTGAGCACTGAGTTGGATTTTTTTTTTTTTTTTTTTTTCTCCCAGTAGCCCAAGCTGCCCTGGAATTCACTAAGTAGACCAGGCTGACCTTAAACTCTCAGAGAATCACCTGCCTCTGCCTCCCAAGTGCTGGTATTAAAGGCGTGTGTTACCACAGGGAATTTTTTTTTTATTTTTTTTCTGTCTTTTTGAAACAGGTTCTCCCTGCAGCTCTGCTGATCTGGAACTTACTATGTAGACCAGGCTGGCCTCCATCTCACTAAGATCTGCCTGCCTTCACCTCCATAGCCCTGGGATTAAAGGTGTATACCACCACACCCCACATGACTTGGAAATCTTAAGTCATAATTATTAATTCAACTCTGTTACCGACTAGCTGAATTAATATTAATTAAATTTTGGTTGGCCAACTTGCTTAACTCTTTGGTTATACTTCATGAGTAAAAGTAAGAGATTGAAGGAACCAAATCCTTGGGTTCTTTTTAGCTCAGAAAGTCTGTGCTTATTATCAGAGAGGACAGTAAGACTTAGTTTTAGGGATCAAGCCTAGGGTCTTGAGCACTCCCCTGTCCCCTAACTCCTCCCATGTCCCCTAACTACCTCTCAATTTCTTGTCCTCATCTTTGATTATAATTATTACATATACATCTAAACATTTATAAATAAACATGTATATATCAAATGCACTGAGTACATTTAGTGGTGCTCCTGTGTACCTGTGTTTAGGGCTGACCCCTTGGGATTAGATAACTTACCAAGGATCTAGTCCCTTGAGAAAACTGATTCTCCCTCTCTCAGGATCTGTTGATTGCCTATAGCTCTTCATCTAGAAGTGGGATCCTGTGAAATCTCACCAATCCACATTTGGCATGACAACTGGTTTTGTCATTATGTAGATATTGTTGGGCTACCATACAGAAACAGGGAGAATTCCAGATTCCTTCTCTAAAGCCAGTGTTACTCAAATACCAAAACCAGGTAAAGACACAACAACAACAAAAAAACTACAGGCCAATAATCCCTGGTGAACATAGTTGCAAAAATTCTCAATAAAGCCTTTAATCCCAGCATCCCAGCACTCAGGGGGCAGAGGCAGACAGATCTCCTGCCTGGTCTCCATAGTGAGCCCCAGACTTGCTCGGGCTACAGGAAGATCCTGTCTCAAAAAATACCCCCCCCAAAAAAATCAAAATACAAACCGCATACAGGCATATATCTAAAAGATCATGCACCATGATCAAGTTGGCTTTATTCCAGAGATGCAGGAATGGTTTAACATAGTAAGTCAATAAATATAACAAATCATATAAATATACTTAAGACAAAAATCACATGATCATCTCAATAGATATAGAAAAGGCCTTTGACAAAATCCAACATAAGGATTTCATGATAAAAGTCCTAGAAGGGATAGGACTAGAGGAAACATATCTCAACGTAATAAAGGCTATTTATGACAAACCCACAGCCAATATCTTTCTAAGTGGAGAAAAACTGGAAGCATTCCCATTAAAATAAGAAATGAGACAGAGTTGTCCACTAGCCCCACTTCTTTTCAATGTAGTGCTTGAAACCCTAGCAATAAAATAAGGAAAAAGATACTAATTGGAAAAGAAGTCAGATTATCCCTATTTGCAGACGATACATAAGAGATCCTAAAACTTGCATGAGAAAACGTCTAGAAATGATCAACACTTCCAGTAAAAGTAGATTACAAAATCAACTTACAAAAGTCAGTAGCCTTTTTACATACCAGTCATGAGTAGTCAGAGAAAGAGATCATGGAAATACTCTCATTTACAATAGCCTCAAAAAAAATAAAATAAAATCTAGGAATAAACCTAACCGAAAATGTAAACAATCTCTGCAATGAAATCTTTGAAGAAAAAGATTGAGAAAGACACTAGAAGATGGAAAGATGACCTGCTTAGCTCTGTATATTTTATCTTGCATCTTTCAGTTTGAAAAAAGATATCTTTATTTAAATAGTTGATGTAAGCCTCATGATAAACTGGAACTTTTTTTTTATAACTATTATAAAGAAAACTTTAAAATGTACTTGAAGTTAATTTTTAATTATACTGCCCTGGCTTGCTTTGTTAATTCTAAGGAGTAACCTTAACTGATGATTGTATTGTATACCATTATTGTTTTCTGGAACATTTTATTTCCTAATAGTTGCTGTCCTTTGGTGAAAAGCAGTCTGTGTTCATCAGTAAAGTTGTGGTACACGTGAGACCAAGTTCAGCAAGTCCTTCACCAAACCCTCCAACTCTAGGATCCAGGATAGACCTTGACAATATCCAAACTATAATGGAGTCCATGGGATCAAAGTTATCACCTGGAGCTCAGCAATTGATGAATATGGTTAGGTTTCAGCAGCAGGTAAGTAGAAATATGTTTTATTAAAAAATTTAAATTTTTGGGCTGGGGTGGCTCAGTGGTTAAAATGCTGGTGTCCTGAGTTCAGATCCCCAGAGCCCACATAAAAGCAGGATGCAGTCATGCACATGTCTGTAATCCCTGTGCTCCTTCATAAAGTTGGGAGGTGAGACCCATTGACATTGACAGACCAGCTCTCCTTGTATATGCAGTGGGGGTGAGACCCTGTTTCAAGCAAGGTAGAGGGTAAAGACTGACACCTGAGGTTATTCTCTGGCCTGAGTGCCCACACATGCTTGTGAGCGCACACACACACACATACACACACACGCACACACACACACACACACACACACACACACACACCATACAACCCAACGTATATAGACCAAAAGAGTTTTTTCTTAATGTTGGCCTTTTATAAGGTAATCTAATATATTAAAATTTTCTTTTAATGTCTACTATTGACTTCATTTTCATCTAGTTTTGAAAAGTCACATTTTTTAGACTTGCCTTCTACAAAATGTTTTGATTGCAGCTCTTAGTTTTTCATGAATTGATTTTATACATTCATTCAGTAAGAATTAAGAACTCGGTGAACAAGACTCTGGCTTGCTCCCTTTTGAAGGTACAAGGATTATCAGTCTGTCTGTAACCTACCTTTAAGCATTTTAAGTGTGGAACAGATTAAGAAAGGTGTACTGGGGGCCATGACCTAGGAAATGCCAATGCAAGGCCAGGAGCTAGTAAACCCTGACCAGGTCTGCAGCTGCTGTTGCTAAGGCCTGTGAGAGTCATTGTGAGCCATCAGGGAGGCCTCAGTGCTGGCCAGTGGTACTTGCCGGCTTCCCTTCTCCAGGATTGGGACACCATAGGCAAGTGGAGCAGGAGACCCTGAGAAGGCCCCTGTTGAGAGGGAAGCACTACATCCCCACCTGGCCTCCTGTTCATTCATTCTCCTACCCACCCAGCACACTGTTCTTGCTACTCCTCCTTGGTTCACTAGGTCTTTCCCTAGGGAGGGGGTGGCAGGCCAACAAGTCAAGGAGCCATTGGCCAGGGATATTGTCCTAGGGATAGCACAGAGGTAGAGCGTCATTTGGGAATACACTGGCCATGCTGGGTTCAAAGGTACAGGCCATGTCTGATCCTGGGTCTGAGGAATATCTCCAAGGCTGGGTCTAAGCATATGGTACGAGCTGCCTGTGATGGCCAGATTTAGTTGGCTACATGACGCAACCTAGAGCCACCTGGGGAGAGAGTCTCAATGGATTGTCTACATCGGGTCAGCCTGTGGGTGTGTCTGTATGTGGGAGGGAGGGTGTCTTAATTGCTTTAATTGATGTGGGAAGACTCATCCTGGGTTTGGGGCCCTAGACTGTTTAGAGAAGACAGCCAGCTCAGCACTAAGCAGGCACATTTGGCTCTCTCTGCTCTTGACCGGATGAGATGTACCCAGCTCCTTTCCAGCTAATGCTGTGACTTCTCACAGTGACGGACTATGACCTGGAATTGTGAGCTGAAATAAACTCCCTTTTAAAAGAAGGGAAAAGAAAGGTGTATTGAAGTAAGTGGCGTTTTATTTGGGTAATTAAAGAAGAAAGGCCAGTGAGTCCGGTGCTGGAGGGTGGCTGTACTAGAGAGTGCCAGTAGTGGGCAGACCTTTGGTGTGGGAAGGGTAGGAAGCAGCATGAAATGAGGAGTTCATTCCTCAAGTGAGTAGACGGGGGAGCTTGAGGTAGATTGTGCTGGATCATAGAGTTTAGAATGCTTATTTAAATTGGTAAATGTTTTTGGCCTGTGTTTTCAGAGATTCTAATCCACTCTCACTATAAGGTAAATCAAAAGAAAGGCGAGCCCAGCTACATGTGACCTCTCTCATCCAGATTAGAGGTGATGGCGTCTAGGCCAGTAACACGATATGGGGGTGTGAGATTCAAAGACAGCGAAGCCATTGGGACCAGACAGCTACCAGTACTGGTACCACAGGAGAAAACAGAGTCGTTTGGAAATATAAAATTTAACTGTGAATAAGGGATTGCCTAGAAGGATGTTCTAGCATTTGTGATTAGGGGTGGAGGGTATGGAAGTGGCTGGCTAGAGGGAGGTTTGAGAGATGACATTACAGTAGGAACTTTGTGACTAGAGAGGTTAGAGTTGAGTAGAGTAGCCACATTTGGCAGAATACGGGGAGAGGACGAAGGAGCCAGAAGAGCTCGTCAGTAGTGGGATCGAGCAGCACGAGAGGTGAGGTGACTCGGCTTGTCCCACCAGTTTCAGCAGGTTCTGTCATGTCTATAATAAAATTATACAAAATTTAATGACAGCACTGCAAAGGTCACAGGATTGATGTGGACGTATAAGGTAAATAATGCAGATGAACGTGTAAAACTAGTTTAATTGATTGAGTGGGCACTAACCCTGAGAACTGAAGACTCAAGGAGCCACAGAAAGCATTTCAAAACAAATGGCAGTCTGTGGTTTGCTTCCTGCCCTCTGGAGTCTCACCTAGACATTTCTGGATGTTCCTCCCTGGTCCTCCTGCTCAGTTACAACCCACCCTTCACATTCCAACAGGGCATGAGCTCAAAGGCAGCTAGACCACGTCCTTCCCTGTGTAAAGCCCCTGACCGCTTATCTTTGCAGTTAGAGTGAATCTAGATGCCTTGTTATCTGGGCTCTCCTTCAACCTTGTGACTGCCACATATCCTTGGGTGTCTGGCTCCAGACATTCTGATGTGTGTATTCCTCACCTGCTCAGATGTGTTGCTACTTCAGGACTTTTGTGCTCAGCTGTGCTCTTTGGCTAGAAATCTTCCCCTATCATATTAGTGAATCTGTCTTCTTATTACTCCAATTTTACCTGAATCATGATATCCTTAATGGGACCTTGTCTGTCATCCAGTGTATAATAGTGTGTCCTTCCTAATCTTTATCATAGTTTTGATAGCTTTGTTAAATATTTGATGGCTGCTGTTTTTGTCACTAAAGTGTGAGTTACATGCAACCAGAAACTTGTCTGTTTATGGCTCTAAGTATATATACATATATATGTCCATTCTCTTTATCAACTAATACTTCTTGGAGATCTTCAGGGAGTGAGTTTAAATAGCAATAGGATATAAATCAAATTATGAAGAATTAGTAACTGGGTTTGGGGAATGTGGAGGTATTTCATGCAAGACGTTTAGAATGAAAGAAATTAGAAGATGGTTGTAAAAAATGATTCCTAGAACACAAAGTCCTTCAGAAGATTGAGTCCTGGCCCTTTTACCTCCTGAATTCCAAGGTGGAGTTCTGGAATCAGTATTTTGAATGATCACCCCAGGTGAGGATCATGCATATTACAACTTGAGAACTACCCTGTTAATAGAAGATAGAAAAAAGAAAAAAAATCGTGGAAGGACTTTGGAAACGATTGAAAGAGTAATGGATTGAATATCTTCACTTCATTGATTTCAATTTTTCAAAAAATTGAGTTTGGAAAAAATGAAATGATAAAATTTTGTGAGGCATATTTCTTCATATTTTTCCAGTTTTAATCTGTAATAAGTTTTCTTTTCTGTGAGTTTTATTCAAACAGAAGTATTAGGTGGAAAATAACAGTGTCTCGCCACTGTCATTATGTCCCCAGAGGTAACCAGGGTAACAGCTTGCTGGGTCTCCTCCAATTTCTTTGTGTGTAGAAACTTATGTGAGGGCTTCCTCCCGGACAGGCAACACCAATGGATCACTTGTACACTGCTGCCAGGGCTCTGGAGCCCAGACTCGATCTTCTGGATCATGTGGTTGTTCTATTTTTCATATTTTTGAGGAACTCCCATACTGTTTTCCAGTACTGCAGTTTACATTTCTGCCAGCTTTATAGTGAATGAATTTCTTATAATCAGACATGCTGGGTGCAGTGTGTAGGCCTTTAATCTCAGCACTTGGGAGGCAGAGGCAGGCAGATCTCAGGGAGTTCTAGGCCAGCCTGACCTACATAGGGAGTTCCAGGCCAGCCAGTGCTACGTAGTGAGATCCTGTTTCAAAAACCAAAACCAAAACAAAACAAAGCAGTAAAAAAAGAACAAATAGTATACACCTGTCAAAAAAGAAAGTCCTTAGCAAATACTTTTACATTTAAAATTTTCTATTTATTTTTTCTGGTAAAATAATGGGAACCCATGATTTTGACTATAATCTAAATATTATTACTATTAGTGTATATTTGTCAATTTTCTACTGTGTAATCTTTGAGCTATAATAGAGAAAAGGCTTTTGTGATTGAATAAAGCTCCTGTGAACTAAAGGAAATGTGCCTAATGTTACAATTTTGTGTATATATATATGTATACATGCACACACATAGGTGTGTATACTGTTTTATAAATATAGTTCATCTTGTTATATGGAATGTGTTGCAGTTGATTCAAAATTTAAGTTGGTAGAGATTTTCTCTTCAGCCTCCTGTCACCACTTCACTTCTCTGATCATCATCTCCCTCGCCTACTTCATTTATTTTTCCTTCATCACCATCTACATCCTAGGATATATTTTCTCTTTCTTTCCTTCCTTCCCTCCTCCCAGGCCATCCCTTCTTATGGATCATATAGACATCATAAAGTCAGGGGCTTTATTTTGTCTACTGATACTTCTGGGAAATGTCTGTGGATAATGCCTGTTACCTGGCTTGGCCTTATGACAGTTTTTTTTTTTTTTTTAAACATCTAGATGAGTATATGAAGCTAATCTTATTACTTTGCAGAAGAGTTGAGACAGGGTCTCCCTGTAGCCCCAGTTGCCTAGAACTTGCTATGTAGACCAGGCTTGCCTCCATCTCACAGAGATCTGCCTCCCTCTGCTCCCCAAGTATTTGGGATTAAAGGTATATGTCACCACACTGGGCTTTAGTCTTATTTTGGATCTGTCTCTCAGAAGTTATTGAAGAGCAATAAGTGGATGATGATATCCCCTGTTAAAAATCTATTGTTGGCATCTAGGTGACATTAAGATCAAGCCATATGCCTTGACATAGTCAGGTGAGAGATCCTTCTTCATTTCTTTAGTGGAGACATTGAAAAGCATAGTAGGGAGATAGTGCAGTTTCAGGATTTTCTTAGAAAAGATACTAAGTAACCAGTCTAGTTGTGGCCCCAGAATATAACTCTTATTATCCTGGAAATTCTTAAGGCAAACATAGCCAGTGGTAGTTCATTTTAGTCATTGAAACTGTCACAAATACACCTATAGAGCATCCACTTTAGTAGTGTTTAATCATCCACCATGTAGCCCTGAAAAACTCATTGCATAAGATATGACCAGGGAAAAACAAATAGCTTCCCATATATTGGAAGCTGGGCGTTGTATATTGATTTTTAAGGAGATGGTCAATTGGGTTAGAGACATGGCCCAGCAGTTCAGAGCTCACAAGCTGCTCTTGTAGAGGACTTGGGCTCAGTTCCCAGCACCCACATTGGGTAGCTCACAACTACCTGTAACTCCAGCTCCAGGGGTCCTCCATTGTCCTCTTCTAGCCTCTGGGTTCCTGCACACACATGGCACACATACGCACACTCAGGCATATACACATACACATAAAAATAAATCTTTTTAAAAAGTGATCAATTGAGAATACTGGATATTATTGCCGTAAATTAAGGAAGCCTTTAGTAGTGAAAACATACTATGTTGGTGTTTTACTATGCATGCTAGTAATTTTACTGTGTTCTTTAGGAAAAGCCACAGTCAAATGATTAAACCCTCCCACTCACTGACTGATTTCACCTTTCTCCTTAACCTCGAGTAGTAATCGCTTTCTTCATGAGGATGCTTGAAGGTCAAAGGAAAGAATGCAGTGTCCGGTCCTGGCAGCTGCTCCAAAGGCTAGCCTCCGTTCTCTAACATTTGTCTTCCTTGTTCAGAACTGCATTCCCACTGGAGAGCAGCTTCCGTCGCTTTGGGCAACTACTGGACACAAGCACATGGTTGCGCTGCAGCCTTCGCCTAAGGGAGTCTCAGACAAACCGTCCTCTACGCCTTTTCCTTTTAGAACTGGATTGACATCCTCAGATGTGACTGAAAATTTAAAGACTTTCCTTGGTAAAAGCACAGAGCCACCTGCTGAAGGAAACATTACAAACCACGAGTGTAAAATGGTACCAGAAAATCATTCCCTTCTTAAAAGCGCAACATCTTCTTTCCTACCAAAGAAAGCAAGTGATAACTCAAATATCCCCAACTCTGAGTTGCTGCCTTTTCTCCAGAACTTATGTAGTCAAGTTAACCATCTCCGTGTGGGACATAACGCCAGGTGGCAACAGAACATCTCCAGGCCCCAAGAAGGTGTTGTCAGTGTTGCGTAAGTATTTTCTTCAAGACAAATATAGTTTAGAAAAACAGTATTTACAGACCATCACTGACATCTGTACTGGGAACAGAGAGAACTGGGTTGCTAGGAGTGCCTGAGATTATTGTACAGGTCTCAGGTGTTTGTGGATGGGATACAAGTGTCAGCTAAGAGTTGCACTAGACAACTTCTTGTATGAATGGGGAGGAGCTGTGAGAAACAGAATTTTGACTTTATTTTTATTTATACTAATTTCTAGTTACCTATGTTATACATGCCACTGTAACATTTTCTTTGTAGATTACGTTTAATCTCGACTGTGTCTGAAATACTCAGAAGCTGCAATGGCATGGTTATTTGCAGTGTAGAAGCTCTTCTCTGGTCTTATGTCTTATCTTTGTGGCATGTATTTGATTAAGAGAAAGCTAAGTAGTATATTCCTCACCCTTTACACAGACGCAGTGTGTCAAAGTACTGTTCTAGTCTGAAACTCAGGGCTCTGGTCACAGTTTAGAGTAACCATTTTACTATCCTGTTTAATCTCTCTTAGTTTAAAGTTTATATCTGAAAATGTGGTACCTGGATTAGTTTGGAACTAAACATTCCCAACCACTAACATAATCTTGTCAACATTTATTCTGGACTCTGCCAACATAGCAGAATACACTTTTTTCATATATGTGGAAAATTCATAGGAGTAGATTATATCTTTAGTTATAAAGCAAGCCTGACCAAATTTAAGAGGACTGAAATCATAGAGAATATTTTCTCAGACCATAAAGACAGGCAAGAGGTCATATAACAGTAATGGAGAGACACCAAGAAGTTTCCCCAATCCTGGAGGATTAAACAACAAAGTTGATCTTATTCAAGAAATCTAGGGGCTGGAGAAGCAACTCAGTTGGTAAAGTGCTTGCTATGTAAGCATGAGGACCCAAGTTTGGGTCAGCACCCATGTAAAAAGCCAGGCATGTTGGTATACACTTGTAATCCCAGCACTGGGAAGGTTGAGACAGGAGGATCCCTGGGGTTTGCTGGCCAGCCAGTGTTCCTCAATCAGTGACTTCTAGGTTCGGTGAGAGACCCTGTCTCACAAGCTGAGTGCTAGAGGAAGACGCTGATGTCAGCCTCATGCCTCCACAAGCACATGCATGTACATACATAAACACGTCTGCATGCATGCAATATATACACAGACACAAAAGAAGTCTCAACAGAAATATTTCTATAAATACATGAAACAGCCAGGTGAGGTGGAGACTGCCTTTTATCCCAGTACCAGGGAGGCAGAGGCGGGCAGATCTCGGTGAGATCCAGGCCAGCTTGGTCTGCCTAGCAAGTTCCAGGCCAGCTGGGGCTACAGGGAGACCCTGTCTCAGGAAAAACCAACAAAATCCATAAAACAGTAAAATTACAGCAGGTGAGAATTTGTAGACTATAGCTAAAGAGGTTAGAGTATTTGTAGCATTAAAATTTATGTCAGTAAAGACAGTTCTGAAATCAGCAGCACACAGCTACTCAAAAAATATGAAATACTCTGAATAGTCCTGCTATTAAAAAATGGAATTTAAAGTTGGGTGTGGTAGCATGAACCTGTAATGCCAACATTTGAGAGCCTGAAGCAGGTGCTTTGTAAGAGTGGAGAAAATTTAATGAAATGAAAAATGGCTCTTTGAAAATTTATGCTCATAAATTTGGTAACTTAGAGGTAATGGGTTAATAGGGTACTAGATTCAGCCAACATGGAGTAGATAACAGAATGACCCTATAGCTACTAGAAGTATTGCATTTATGACGGGAACCTCTTATGGTTTGGATGTGGGTTCCCTAGAAAAGTTCATGTGCTGAAGGCTTTGTCTCTGCTGGTGGATCCAGTGATTGATGTATTGGTTACTTTTCTGTGGCTGTAGCCTGGTCATTTTGTCATAGCATTGGAGAAAGTTCATAATACTTTAAAATTTTTATTTTTAGGATGGAAGAACAGCCCATCTGTTCCTACTTGGAAAAGGTTCTTTCTAAAAATATGGAACTGATGGAAAAGAAGCTTATGGACTACATTGATCAGAGAATCTACAACCTCCGGGAGCACATAGATGCTAAGATTGCTTTGTTAGTGGACTTGCTCCAGAATCCCAACTCCCCACCTTCTGGGATGGCACTGAGACATTATGACTCCAGAGAAAGGCTTTCTAATGGGGAAAGATAGGCTCGCCACATGTACAGTGAACTGCAGATATTTATTTCATATTTATTACAAAGCCCAAACCCAAAAAGTTTATGAAAAGCAGCAAGTATTTGCTGTCTTTTGAAGGAGCATTGTCTGGCAGTGACCTCAGTGCTCATTTTTACTGGGCTTGTGACCACAGGTCCAGTGCTACACACCGAGAGCTAACATGGTGGCCCTAAGTTATTTTGCTTGCTATATTTTTTACTCTTAAAGAAATGTTTGTATATTTGTGTTGCTTAAGTCTTTAGAATGTTTAAGAATTTCTGATGCAGCTCATTAGTGTGTATTGTATATTACCAATGTGTTTGAAGTGAATTTTTTATTTATACAGATATTTTATAGTCTCAGGAGTGTGAAAAATAATGCTTAGAATATTTGATATTTTTCTTTTCTAATTATTTTTGGAAAATTGAATACTTGGAGCCTCTAACTCAGATTACCAACTTACATTTTGTATTGTTTCCCTGAGATGAATAAATACAGCGTTTGGCATGTTTAGTGCTAGTTTACACCGAATACTGTTTGTTTCCTTACAGTGTAGCTGTAGGTTAGAAAGTAGTAATCAGAGCCAGAGTGTTCATTTTCAGTCTTCCTGCTTTGGGTAAAACAGAAGCATTTGTCTTGTTTGATCTCAGCCCCATTTCTGGAACTGATAAGGGTTCTTACCCCAGAGTCCTTTCTAGCATGTTTAATGCATGACATTCTGAGAATCTGAGATGAGGGTTCAGATAGATCAAGCAAGGGGAATGCAAGTCTCCAGCAGGCTTAGTTTCAGAACTTACAGCCATTGTGTATGTGCTGAAGGGTGATGTGTCTGCATCCCCAAATAAATACGTCCACTGCAGTCTGTTTGTAAGTTAATGGAACTCTTATTTTCAATTTTTTAATTACTTTTTTTTTCTAAGAAGGGATTTTTCATACCCATCTATTTTGTTCTTTTGATAATTGTTTATTTTCATCATCCTGCAAAGGTGCCACAGTGTGGAGAACACAGCACACTCTTGCTGGTCTTTTATGAGCCAGTATTAATGGGTCAGTCATAGCATTTGCAGGGCTGACATTTCCTAATCGAGAAATCTCACTCAAGCTCCACCCAACAACTCATGGTCTTGAAGCTTCTGGTAGTAGTGTCTTCACTGATTCGCAGAGTGTTGTCCATGACTTAGGCCCCCATAGGTCATCATCTAGGGCTCCCCGCCTGGTTCTGCAGGATCAAACTACACTCCTAAGTGAGACTTTTTTTTTTTTTGGTCTTTCTGAGACAGGGTCTCCCTGTAGCCCCAGCTGGCCTAGAACTCACAGAGATCCACATGCCTCTGCCTCCCGAGTCCTGGGATTAAAGGCGTGAGCTATCATGTGAGGCCTTGGCAATATCTCCATCTCACCCTTCCAGCATCACTTCCTGCCTGGCTCTGCGTCCTCATCTGTGGTCCTTGACTGCTCCTTTGTGACAGGACTGACCATGGAGCAGGAAGGGGTCAGAGGGAAGATCTTACAGAATAAGAACTGTAAAAGGTGGGAACTTAGAGCGGATAAACCACACAGCTTCTGTAACCGTGTAATTGAGTTGAAGAAGGAATCCTTTCTCCAACAGCCTGAAGTTGAGAGCTAGAACAACTCACATTCCTAACAACTTAGCTCACAGCTGTGTGTACGTACCTGTATGCTTCCTGGCTCACAGTTACAGGAAGGTAGAGAGAAATGGTCCACACCTGCACACCCCGACCCCCCCACCTCCATTCTGGTCAAAACTGTAAACCCATTTCTTGACCAATTTCTGTCTCTCCTCTTTGTGGAAGTGGCTGGTAACGCCTCCAGATCCTGGGAACAGCTTCCCATGGGTCCATAAACATTAGATTAGGCTTTGTAGGGGAAGAAACCCAGCCTTAACTGCAGATGCCATGCTTGACATGATTTGCACCAACACAACAAAGAAATGAAATATACTTGTCAAGCAGCCCTGGTCAAAAATAACCTGTGTAACCTCATACTGCACTCCCAGATTTAAAGTAAGACCCACTGAGAAGAGCCTGTAGAGTGTGACTCGAGCAGCACCCCCTCGGTGCTGTTAGCACTTCTGCTCCATAATAAAAACTTCTCTGTCATTTTATACCTTTCTCATCTCTGAATTCTTTCTTTGATGGTGACAAGAACTTGGAAATACCAAGTAGAGGTCTCTATTGGGTTTACGCAGACCTTTCCAGGCCTCACCAGTAGGTCTCCCCCTCCATCTCCTCTGCTGACCCTGGGAGACTACTTTCAAATGTCTTCTCCCCAGGGAAGCCTCCCTTGTTTCCATCTGCCCTCTCCCTGTAGTGCCCCTTCTGCGTGTGCCTCTTTCAAAGACTGAATCTCATTTAGCTTGGTGGTTTCCAGCCATCACTTTTTCCCCGTCCCTGATACTCTAGAACCAAGGCCTGTTGTACACCTGAACTTTGTCTTACAGAACCCAGTATCACAGACCAGGAGGTGTTCCAGTGAGCTGGATTTTGTCGCACTCTGTTATTTGTGTTATGTGGACAAGCACACAAGTGCATATGGAACCAGAGATTGTCTTCCTCAGGTGTTTCCCACTTCACATTTCACTGAGCTAAAAGCGCTTTAGTTCACAGGTGTTTCTTGGGTCCTATCCCTGCTAAGCTGGTACTGTGCTGCAGAATCGATCCTGAATGAATGCAGAGGGCTCCTCCCCTTGTGGTCCCGCTGCTCTGTGCAGGACTGGGGTAGGGATGAGACAGGATACAAAGAGGAAATTATGCAGACTTGGAGAGGTGACTGGTCACCTCACCTGGTCCCACCATGCCTAGAGCCACCCCCGCTGCTCTGTGCGGGACTCGGGTAGGGATGAGACAGGATACAAAGAGGAAATTATGCAGACTTGGAGAGGTTTAAAGGAGCTCTTCACACCAGAGGATGATTGGAGTCTCTTACCAGTTGAGAATCAAGAATTCCTGGAAATTAACATTTCTCTGAAAGTTGCCAACGTAGAGACACTATTTCTGTTATATAGAACCAGTTCCAAATAATACTAAAATAGAAACAAGCCAGGCTGAATCGAGTGTGCATGACCTGAGTGTGTCCTTAATTCTGTCCTGGGTATTTTCTGGGAATCTCACACAAAACTAGCAACAGTTGTTCACAGTGCTCTAGTATTTTGTCTATTATAATCCTGTCCAGCACACCTCAGGAGTATTCCTATGGTCTAATTTAAACTTCTTAGCAACTCTTTGAAGATGACTTCGGAAATCACCCAAATCCTATCTGACCAGCTCAAAGAAATGGAGTGTGTCCCTCCCTTGAGAACCCCACGCCCACACTTCAGGTGTGACTTCCTTTTCCTTGACTATTAACTCCTGTTCTTAATTTGTTGAGACTGCCTCTTAATGAACTACAGCTCTGGTTCCTACTGACTCCTCTTGAAATTCTTTTCTGCAGCAGAGTCAAGGATTCAGCTCTGCCTGAGTGGAAGTCCCCAGGTGGGGGAGGGAATTCCTGACTATTGCAGGTGGTGCTGTCCCCAGCCCTGGCATCACTGACAGGGAGGTTGCACTCTGACAACTTACTTTATTTACTCTTGTTTTATATAGACCAGGCTGACCTCAAACTCTGGAGTTGAGGCTAGCCTTGAACTTCTGATCCTCTTACATCTGCTGCCTCCTGAGTGATGGAATCACAGACCTGCACCACCATGCCTGGCCAAGTCTTTATTCTCTTCAAGGTATTTATTAGCACCTGAGGGTAGAAACTGATTTCTAACAGAAAGCCTAGAACCTGTTAGGTGTCCTGAGTAATGATCTCCAGTTAACAAACAAAATTATAACAAATTTAGTGCCAAGTTGGAATTGACATTTTTATTAGTCAATGGGCTGAGCAGAGATGAAAGCAGACCTTTCCACCAGAGGGCTGATCAAAGCAGAAATAAGGAATCAAAACTGGATGGGTCACCTTGAAACTAGAACAGGGGACTTCCATATCCTTGGAGCTCAGGGAAACTTTGTCTTCTAACTCATTGCTATGCACAGCCTGTGTTTGGAAAACTGGCTAAATTTCTAGGTTCCAGCTGATTATGTGACTCTTAGTGTATGTGGCCTTCTTCCCAATTAGTCCCAAGAAAGTTTACCTTGGATCATTGATCGTCCATATTTGATGACAAGCCCCACTCTTATCCAGCGTACCTGCAAAGATGTTTCTGATGGAGATACAGTGGCTCACACCTCTTTGGCAAGAGTGGAATGGTATTGACTGTACCCACCTGGCCAGGCAGGGACTGGAAACTGGTTCTGTCCTCCCACCATCCAGTCTTCATAACACAAAGAGTCTCTTGTTCCACAACCCAGTGCCTCTGACTCTGAACTGCAAACTAAGCTCTGGATTTGAGTTGCAAAGAAATTTAGTCACAGGCAATTTAGGGAAAAAGAGGCTTTTGGAGGTTTTATTTTATATGCTAGGTGATAAGTCTCTGAATAGCGATCTGAACTCATGCCTCCCTGGAGTGCTGAGCATGATGGGAGTCTGGAGGGAAGGAGGAGCCACAGTTGGCCTCAGGACCTGGGAGCTGAACTTTGTGATGTAGTACCTGTTCTCTCTGTGGGAAATTTCCTGTAATTCACACCCACAAAGACTTTCATCCAAGTGCCTGTTCTGTGACTGACACCTAGACTAGGTGGTTGTGAGCACTGTGATGCCTGCAGAATTCTATCACTTGGCAGCAAAAGCCTGATCCTGACTGTGAACCCATGAACCCCTTACTTGACCTAGGTTCCAGCTCCGTGCCTCTTCCACAGCTCCTTCTGCTCTGGTCCCATTCTCATCTTTACCCTCAGGTTCTTAAAAAGATGAAGACTGTGCCTTGGCCCTAGCAATTATTGTAGAAAGAGGCCAGTGTCACCTGCAGGATAATTTGTGCCTATGGAAACTCTGTTCCCTCAGAGGCAAGTTAGTGATCGAGGACCAGCTGTTAGCAAGTGCCAGGGCTTGAGGACTACTCTGAATCTTGGAAAAATCCAAATGGAAGGCCCTCATTTTCTTCACTTTTCTCCTGGGGCTCGAGAGATGGTTCAGGGGTTAAGAGCACTTGCTTCTTTTGTAAAGACCCAGGGTTTGGTTCACATACTCACATTGGGTGACTCATAACCACTTGTAACTCCAGTTCCAGGGGATCTGACGCCCTCTTCAGGCCTCTGTGGGTACTGTATGCACATGCCGCACACACAAACAGGCACACACACATAAACAGGCACACACACATACACAAACAGGCACACACACACACACAAACAGGCACACACACACATACACACACAAACAGGCAAACAGGCACACACACAAACAGGCACACACACACACAAACAGGCACACACACACACACACACACACAAAAATGAATTTTAATAAAGGTGGGGCTGAGGAGATGGCTAGTGGTTAACAGCACTGGCTACTCTTGGAGAGGACTAGGGTTCGGCTCCCAGCACCCACATGGCAGCTAGCAACCAACTGTAACCCTAGTTCCAGAGGATCCAATGCCCTCCTCTAGCCTCTGTGGGTGTTGCATGACATGGGTCTACCTACACATATGCAGGCAACACACTCATACACATTGTTCTAGTTTGTTTCTCAATTGCTGTGACAAAATACTTTGACCATTACCAACTTGTGGAGGAAAGGGTTTATTTATCTTACATCTCCCAGGTCACAGTTCACCAGGGAGCCCAAGGTAGGAACTCAGGTCAGGAACCTGGAGGCAGGAGCTGAAGCACAGGCCATGGAGGAATGCTGCTTACTGGCTTGCTCCCCTGGCCCCGGCTCAGCCCGATTTCTTATACAACACAGGCCCACCTGCCCAGGAGCAGCATCACCCACAGTGGGCTGGGTCCTCCCACATCACTCAACAGTCAAGAAGATGCCCCTCAGACATGGCCACAGGCCAGTTCAATGGAGGCAATTCCCCAGTTGAGACTTCTTCAACCCAGGTGTGTTAAGTTGACACTAAAGCTATCCAGCACACACATAAAATACAAATAATTTTTTAAAAAAGAAAGGTGTTCTATGTGACAAAATTCAAGCAGAATTTAGTAGCAAAAATGTAATTTCTCTCAGAGACACTGTTTCTCTTTGGGCACAAGAAATTTTGGGTTAAATTTTAAAATACTTTTAAAAAATCTTCGGCATCTAGCAAAATTATATCCTGCCTTTTAAATTGTTTATATGGCCCCTTTATTTTCTATTCTAATTTTCCTGCTTGCATTGCAACATAATAATGTTACAGTCTAGTTGTCTCAAGTCTTAAAATGAGTAAAAAAAATTAAAAGGCATGCATAACCATCACCACCAACAATTGAAGGCACATTGTTTTCATTATTGTATGTTTATACAAAGTATACAAATACCATATTAGATAGTACATAAGAATACAAACATTACAGAAATTGACTTGCATAATAAAATATTCTACTAAGAAATTTGAAATACTGCTCATGAAGACTTTTGGCCCACCACAGCCATGTCAGAGTCCTTCACTTTGGTCACAAAAGCAAGGTGGCAGGCCGCCAACATCAGCGTAGACACTACATGCATCACAGCACTGGAGGGCGCGAGAAGACTCAGCAAGGAGGGGTTTGGCCTGGATGACCTTGTCCGGGGTGACGTTGCATGAATGAGTACAGCTTAGAGCATCTGCTTCCTTCGAAGTTCTTAGGAAAACACACACACAGAGCGTGAGCTTAGGCTTTTCCTTCCCAGGGAGCTTCTAACAATTGTCGGGACTATGTGGGACGTCCAGAGCAGGAGCCCATCGCACATGGGACACCAGCCCTGGATTAAAGCTCTGCGACTTTCCCATCCCTTCCCCTCCCAGAATTACTGTGCAAACGAAATCGGGTAATAAAAGTCAGGGAGTGTGAACTGCACGCAATGCCTGCTGCAGGCCATGGGGTGTGGGAATGGTGGGGAAGCTGCTGCAGCTGGCTGGGCCCTGCCCTGGGCTCCACATCTAACCCTACAACGGAGTCACCACTGCAGCTGACGACCAGTGTCTCTCATACTTTAGCTCCTCTCCCAACTTCAGGCATCTCACATCTGACCTACACCCCCT